ATATATATATATATATATATAAAAAAAAAAAAAAAAAAAAAAAAAACTGATTAAATATTTAATTAAGCTATAACAAGACAAGTAAGAATGCTATAGTCGGGCAAGGCCATAATACATCACTTCGCTTAATTAATAATACACCAAAAATTACTCAAAATTTTTTTGTACATAGATAATTTTCACGAAGCCCCTCATATTAGTGATCTAAATTAAGGAAGTTTAACTTACTTGCCAGTAGCTTCCGTTATAATAAACCAAAAATTAGTCTTTGCTGCTCCTACAAGTGGTAATGGTCTAAAAAATAGATCTATGTGATACAAATTCCCTATGGTTGATTTATTAAGGCCAAACTGCCATCATAAAATACTAATAAAATATACCTTTTGGCTTGTAAAGTGTTATTTTTTATTAGAAAGCTTGTATGCCCTCCTGCCCGAACTCCAAAAAATAGAGGTACGTGGTTCAAGCTCGTTGGAGCTAATTTTAATATCAGATCATTATTATAAACGAATTTTCATCGAGAAATATTTAAAATTAGACCTTTTACAAGCTGAACACAAAATAGAAGACAGACAGAGAAGCTTACAGGGATTCAGGAAGTGTTTCTGAATAGATCCATATAAACTTGATATACCCTTGTACCTCAAGCAATGCAGGGTACAAAATAGAAAGGAATCGAAAGTACAACAAACAAACAAATAAAATAAAGAAAAAGAAAAATGGGTAGAAACCAATAGCTCTCCAAAATTATTACCAAACAAATTTTTATATATGTAGTTGTAAAAAATTATAGATATATACCCTACGTCACTTGACTCAGTACAATTATTGTTATAACGACTTTTCAAAATGGGATCTTATGTAGGACGTGGTCGAAAAAGTGATCCGATACGAACGATTTTCAATAGCCTCTATCCTTTGGTCAAAACCGGTCGCTATACCAAATTTCATCAAAATATCTCAAAAATTGCAATCCAGAGGTTGAATACGAAAAAACAAAACGGATAGATGGACGGACCAGCTTCAGAATCATTTTCCGTATAATGGAAGGTGGATCTATCTACTTCTGGAAATTGCGTAGATTTACACAAATTTAGTGCTGTGGGGTATAAGTGATTAATCATACAAATGTAAGCAATCTTTTCTTAAGTTCTCAGCTCATTCTTTAACTTTCCGAGTGCAACCAACATGACTAATATACCCTACATCACTTCACTCAATATAACTATTCTTATGATTTTTTCAAATAGAATGTTATTATCTCAAAAATTGCCACCTACAGGTTAAACACAGGAACACATGGACAGACGTCAAACGGACAGCCGGACGGACAAGCGTAGGTTGATTTAGAAAATGATTCTATATCGATCGGTACAATAAAAGGTGGGTCTATCTCAAATCGTTCCGGATATTACAACCGTCCAACGTCCGCCAAACCACAAGTGACGATAACCAGAATACATTAGAACACGAATGAAATATGATGTTCAGACTATTCTTGGGGAAATATTGAGATTTCTTTCGTAACACTGTTATATAAGCACCAAAGAAAAACTTCGCAAAGCATATTTAATGAAAGCCGTCTTGTGCATGTCCATAACTTGCGCTATTGTAGCAATCCTCAGAAGCTAAAAATTGCGATAATTTTGCAAGATACCATTGTTTTAAACTGGGAATATAGGAATGATCACATGTATTGCAAAAACTTAAAAATTCATAAAGTTTCACTAAACTTTCAGAAATGTTGCAAAGTTCATAGTAAAGAGTGACTTGAAAATTGCAAGGTATATATTTTTTAAGCCCATTTTATCAGATCGATCACTAACAAAGGATTATGTACTGACCTGTAACGTGTGATTAGACC